CCCAAGCTAGGCGAGTGGCTCCAGCAGATCCCGGGAATAACATCGGAGATCTCTGTCCAGAAGAGCGCAGTCCTGGGAACAGCTAAGATACTGCGCAGAACCCTCAAGCTCCCAAGCCTCTGGTAGAGGACCCGAGCTTGAAGGATAAACCGCCCGCAGGGGCGTGCTGGGTGTTTTATATATATATATGTAAATAAATTTTTTCTTGGAATAATTAATAGATAATGGGTTACCCAACTCCTTTGTACAATTTTAACACTTTAACTTAGTGATCATTTTATTTAGAATTTACATGTCTTTTCAAAAGGCAGCAACAATTAAAAACAGATATATTGAAGTGGAATGAGTTCATAAGAGAGGAATAACTGAACGTGTCTATTGGTTATTATTTATCCTTGCAGTTCTGATCTGTGTGTGTCATCCTGAAAATGTCGATTCCTTCATCAATTAGCAGCTGTTTGGCGTAATGCACAGTCTCTGGAGGCAGATAGGGCGACCGGGCAAGAATCCAGCTGTAGTTGAAATGAAATATGCGAAGGATGTCTGTGCAGGAGTACACGACAGACAAGCTGGTGTAGTCAGTAGTCAGAACCCAGTATGGCACATATGGAGTGACTGAGAACAAAGAGAAAAAAAATGTATAAAAAACAAACATTTTTCCAAAGGAGAATCTCTATATTGATTTTCTGAATAAAACTGATCCAACTTAAATGTGTAATATTATGGAGCCTGACAAATATATGATTTTTAGTGACTTAAAAATCTGCTTTTGGTTTTCTTTTTCTCTGACAAATGAAACATAAACAGATTTTGTGTAGTTTTTTTTTATTGAACTATTTATGCTTTGCCTCTGCTCTGATCTGCTGGTTGATTTATTTGTGGCTTTCGAGTTTGTTTCAAACAGGGACATAGCATGGTGGAAGAAACAAGCAACATCAACATTCATAGCAAGTCCCAAGCGTGTTTCTTTTATTGGCTAAAATGCTAATACTGATAGATCAGCAAATATGTAATATGAGTTGATAAAATCAATTCAATTCAATTCAATTTTATTTATATAGCGCCAAATCACAACATAAGTCGCCTCAAGGCGCTTCATAGATACAGAGAAAAAAACCCAACAATCATATGACCCCCTATGAGCAAGCACTTTGGCAACAGTGGGAAGGAAAAACTCCCTTTTAACAGGAAGAAACCTCCGGCAGAACCAGGCTCAGGGAGGGGCGGCCATCTGCTGCGACCGGTTGGGGTGAGAGAAGGAAGACAGGATAAAAGACATGCTGTGGAAGAGAGACAGAGGTTAATAACAGATATGATTTAATGCAGAGAGGTCTGTTAATACATAGTGAGTGAGAAAGGTGACTGGAAAGGAAAAACTCAATGCATCATGGGAATCCCCCGGCAGCCTATGTCTATTGCAGCATAACTAAGGGAGGATTCAGGGTCACCTGGTCCAGCCCTAACTATATGCTTTAGCAAAAAGGAAAGTTTTAAGCCTAATCTTAAAAGTAGAGATAGTGTCTGTCTCCCGAATCCAAACTGGAAGCTGGTTCCACAGAAGAGGGGCCTGAAAACTGAAGGCTCTCCCTCCCATTCTACTTTTAAATACTCTAGGAACAACAAGTAGGCCTGCAGAGCAAGAGTGAAGTGCTCTAATAGGGTGATATGGTACTACATGGTCATTATGATAAGATGGGGCCTGATTATTTAAGACCTTGTATGTGAGGAGCAGGATTTTGAATTCAATTCTGGATTTAACAGGAAGCCAATGAAGGGAAGCCAAAACAGGAGAAATATGCTCTCTCTTTCTAGTCCCTGTCAGGACTCTTGCTGCAGCGTTTTGGATTAGCTGAAGGCTTTTCAGTGAGTTTTTTGGACACCCTGATAATAATGAATTACAGTCGTCCAGCCTGGAAGTAATGAATGCATGAACTAGTTTTTCAGCGTCACTCTGAGACAGGATATTTCTAATTTTAGAGATGTTGCGCAAATGGAAGAACGCAGTCTTACATATTTGTTTAATATGTGCATTGAAGGACATGTCCTGGTCAAAAATGACTCCAAGGTTCCTCACAGCGTTACTGGAGGCCAAGGTAATGCCATCCAGAGTAAGAATCTGCTTAGATACCATATTTCTAAGATTTTCAGGGCCGAGTACAATAACCTCAGTTTTATCTGAATTAAGAAGCAGAAAGTTAGCGGCCTACCAATCAGCCCACTGATAAATTAGTCAAGGTAATTACAAAATTAAAACATCATGATGATACAACAGGTTCAATGAATAAGACCGGCTACAGCCATGACAGTAAAACTGTACAGTATCACAGTGCTTTAAGGCAAATGCTTGTATCAGCATGTCAGTATACTCACAATCTCACACTATATTGTCATCAACTAAAGTACTGGACAGCTCCAAATTATAGCCAACAGAAGGTGTTTGAGTGAAAAAATACAAATGTCAAGATGTAATTTCAAAGGACCACCAGACTTCGTACAATTTGATCTCAGTAAAGCAGGAATACTGCAACGTTTCATCAAATAGTTGATAAAATAAGGATAATAAGTACTTACAGTATGAGAAACTGACTCCCAGTTTGGCCGGTTCTCGTGGGTCTGAAACTACACCTGTCCCTTCTGCATGCCTCTTCTTATCTTTACTGAAATGAAAAAATATGTCAACAAAGATTTCAAACAGACTAACTATTAATTCAACTAATTATAAAATCTGCTGCTGGAGGCGTGGCAGACAGAAAGACAGAATCCCTCATGTAGGTAAACTCCACCTTGGGTGTGCCGACAAGCAGCTTTAGGTCAGTTGTCCATGGTCAGTGTCAGCTTTATTACTTTTTGCTCATCATACAATACACACCCTGAAGGAGTCTAAAAAAACTCACAAAAAAATCAAATCACCCATCATCATGGCTTGGACCAAGGTGTGCTTTGAGCTACTGCTGTAAGCCCTTTGATTTGAACAGAGATGTATCTTCCTAACCACGCTAGAAACTGAGACAGACTCACTATTCGTGGAATCTTTTGCTTTTAACATCCTGGTCATAATACCTATAACCAGATGGCAGTTGCCTATCCCCTGGAATGTTTGACTCTTAGACCTTATCACCTTTGTTTTACTTGTTTGATGTTTCACACGCCTTTTGCCTATGTTTAACACTCACTTGTGCATTGATGTAAATAGCATTCCTTTTCAGGGTTGGCTTACCTATTCATCACTTGTCACTTAAAGCCGATGGTTAACTGTTTGTCATTCCAGGCTCTGGATGTAATCTCTGAAAGTAATCCTCAAATTTATATTGTATTCTGTCATCTGTGAGTCGCCAATATACTGTGCTCCTATTGGTTGTCTTTTTCATCACTTGCATCAAAGTTGGGAGAAGTTTGTCACTGTGGCAACATGGCAAACTAAAATGGCAAAAGTCCTGTGCAACGTTAATTCAAACAAGAATCTTTTTTCAAATAAGAGGAGTTGCCCATTGCTGACCATAACAAAGGATTTAGATTTAAAGCACTTTTACGCTGTTTACTTTCTTGAATCTGGGACTATATACAGACATATTTCATACATAGAGAAGAACATGATTTTTGGTACAATGAGTTTTGAAACAAAGCATTCTTTCTGATTCTTTACACAGACAACAGTTTTTTATGCCAGAAACAGTAGAATTATTTTTGTCTCCAGCATCATATCAACCATACAAATGAGAGTGATATCAAGCTTTTCAGTGGTATCAATATTCCTTCAAAAGAGTATATGCTAAAAGAAAAATGGAAGTTGCAGAGAAATGTGGTGTCAAGGGAACCAACAATAAGAATCCTTTGCTATAGTACTTACTAGATCTGCGAGGTCAACAGCTGGATGGTCCCATCTCTCCTAATGGAGTAGTTTATCTCAATGCACTTTCCTCTTGCAAAGGGAGCAGGCAGCTTCTCAATCTCATACCATTTACCCAGGTACTGTAACAACCATAGGCAAGTCATTAGATCTGTGCAACTCTTTGTTTAATAATTATAATTATTTCATTTGTATATCATTAAATAAAACACAGTTAGAAAATGCTTCACAGTTTGCATAAAATCACACATTGAAGATAGGTGTACATATTCAAGCACACAAAAAACACGGTCAGACATGTGGTCTTACACTCATTCTTGCATACGCACTCACATAAATACATATTAGAAGAACAAAAGCCAAAAGTATTGGGAAAAAGTTTGAGGAAATGCTAACCTATAGAAATTAATTTTCAGAAGGCTAAGGCTGACCCAATGTTTAGAATTGCAATAGCCTCTAGATTTAAAAGAAGAGGGTGTGTGAGAGGGTGTAAAAGAGCCCAATCAGATGATCAGAGAGGACGACTGTAGTTATAAGGTCCCAGTAGCTCAGCTATATATATATTTAGGAGCCTTTATATTTAGGAGGTCTTTATATGTAAAAAAATTTTAATGGATTTCACTGAAAGGCGGTGAAGGAAAGCCATTATAGGAGTGTATGCCTTAGTTTGTACTCACCTGCTGAAGGTTAAAGTTGGGCTGCACCTTCGGAGTAGGACAGGGACCCCAGTGATAAGTCTGAGCTGATAGCAGAGGGAGCATCAGAAGGAGAAAGCACACACCAGACATTGTTCCTTCAGGAGATTAGGGTAGAAGTTACATTAGACGAGAGCTATTGCAGGAGTGTATATTTTCATTAGCAATAATGCAAGAGCTGCATTAATAATATACTTAGAATTTCAGTAAAAAGATACACTATGGGTATTAAAACATAAATCTTTATGCTCAAGATGTTTGTTGTATTTCCATTTTATTAAAGTTATTAAAGTGTTCTTACCTGAGCTCTGTACAGATGTCAGGTGGAAGTTAGAGGCTGAGCTCTCGGTCACTGTCTGAGCTCTCCAGACAAACACAGGTCAGCCTTCGCATTACGTCACTCGGACAGCATAAGGACATCTGTTTAACTAATTGTAATCATGCGCACATTCCTGTATGGTGAAAGTGCTGTCACTGTGAGAAAGGATGAATGTCGTTATTCATTCAGGAACCGCTGTGTTAATGCTGGGTTCATCCCCGAATTAAGCGGATTTATTTCTTTATCATTTTCATTTGAATTGTTTGTCATACACCTGAAGATGCCACCTTGGAATGAGGGAAATTATATAAATGATATTATTCTTCATCACCTTTAAATGGTTTACAGATAAAATAAGTAGCTGAAAATCAGTACTGCTGGCTCTTCAGTTGTACCGCTTTATTGTGATTTGAGGCTAGGAACAAAGATGATTTATGTGTGATATTTCTTCCACTTTATTACAGTGAAATTGCAAATACTTTTTTCTTTATTAAAAATAAAATGCCCCTCGATTATTTCACTGTGGGTCAGGATCGTATAGCATTTTCTTCATTTAATGACAGTTATAATGAATGTAAGCCAAGCCAGTGTTTAATCGGTTCATCTTTAATGCCAGCAGAATCTTAGCAAAGTTTTTCCTACACCAAGTACAGCATGTTTCATGGATTATTACATGCAATCAAGGATATGCAAACACTCTTTAGTTGATTAAATCCAAAACCTTTAAAAATAGGACAGCTTTAACTGAATAGTTTCCAACTATCAGGCGGCTCACACAGAGTTCAAACCATTTCTGTGTTCATGTCTGTATGACAGCACTTTGATTTGAAGAACTGTGACATGAAGATGAATCATGATGGAAATAACTTTTGCTCGATGAGATGGTCGTTTAATTGCAAAACATATTAAAACACAAAAATAATGTACTTTTTAAAAACAATGGCTCATGTAAAAAGTTACTGGCGTAGGTAATCAAGGAAAAAACCTTCAGAGAAAAACACACTCTACAATAACTGAACATCTCTGCCAGTTCTTGCTAAACGCTACAGCTCTGATCTGTGGGAGTCATATTGGAAATGTCGATCCCCCCGCTGATCAGCATCCGCTTGGCCTGATCCACCATCTGTGGAGGCAAAGAAGGTGACCGCGCAAGAATCCAGGCGAAATCAAAGTAGAAGATCCCAAAGACATCTTTGCAGGAGTACGCAATGCTATAGTTGGTGTAGTCGGTTGACAGAACCCAGTATGGGGTGTAAGGAAGAACTGGGAATAAAGATCAGAAACAGAAATAAAATGTTAAAAGGAGTGTTGTAACAGTTAAAACAATATATATACATATATATATATATATATATATATACACACATATATAGATGATAAAGGAGGTACCTACAAGACAAGAAGTTGACTCCAAGCTTGGCTGGTTCTTGTGGGTCTATAACTTTGGCTGTCCCTTCCAGGTACCACCTTTTACCCTGACTGAGAGAGACAAATATGCGATTTCATCAATCTATTCATTGTGTCATATCTCTTATCATACCAAGGTCTGTCTCTAGTGCATTAGCTCCTAATCAACACTTCACTTGAGGTGTGTCACCACTAAGCCTTTTGTCAATATAGATTACATGGCATTTTTTCTTACTCAACCCAGCTCTTCAGAAGAAAAATACTTGTGCAAACATTAAATCAACACTCGGAACAAATCCAAAGAAAAATCACTAGAAGTAAAGTTCAAGGTTTCACCCTGCAGACAAACACATCCATTATTAGCCATCTATTACCAGCGGCCAATTGCTTCAACAACATTAATGCTACTGCAAGAAACTAGACTTTTTTTCTTTGTTGTTATAGTTAAAAGGATTTTTTTGATATCTGCAGGCAGAAGTATACTAGCTTTTCCCTGCGTTATTCTCCTTTATGCTAAATGTAGAATGTCTAGCTGATTTTAGAGTTTAGAAATGTGTTAACATAGAATGTAGAACTATTGTAGAGACACTGCCCTTAAAGTAATAAAGGTTGACTGTGTTGTGAACTTAGGAGTAGAGTGTAGGAGACCTCCCCCACTGAGTGGAAATTCCCCAGAGGATGTTTTAGGGTGGGGGTCTCAACATTTGTAACTGGATAACTGTGGTCTGGAAGGGAGAGGGGTTTTATGACCTCTAGGGAGTTACCTACACCCACAGTGTTTTAACTGTCACGCACACACATCCACACGCACACTCACTCATGTGCACTCACACATACACACAGGTATGCGTACACAGTCACACACGAGCACTCACATAGACACGTGGGAACGCGCACATGTAGACATTCATGTGCTCGTGCACATAGACACAGACAGAGTTTGCAGCACACCGTAGGGGGTTTTATGATGGGGTCGCTTCTATAAAGCTGGCTGTAACTAACAAAGGGGTGAAGATTTTGGAGAGGGACACCGGCCTCGTCTTCCCTTCTAGAAGTGCATGCTTAAATGAAGATAAATGAAGAAGAGTAAATGAAGATGAGTAAAAGATGAATAAAGATCGTGTGAAAATGACTACCAGAGATGGGCAGTAACGCGTTACGCGTTACTGCCCATCGTTACTGCCCATCACCGGTAACGCGTTACTGTAATCTGATTACTTTTTCAAGTAACGGGTAAAGTAAGGGATTACTATTGCAAAAACGGTAATTAGATTACCGTTACTTTCCCGTAGGAACGCTGCGTTACTGCGTTACTAAAACCGTGATTTTTTGCGAGAATGTCTCACGACAGTGAGGTAAGCGAGTGCGCCGTTAGTGACAACAGCTGTGTGCAGATCAACAATGCATCACATATCGATTGTGGGAGAGAGTATGAGCGTGCAGCGTTTAAAGCGTGGAAGTACTGACCTTACTTTGAGTTTGATTCCATAAAAAGTGACAAAAACATTAGCGTCCATCGTGCGTGGGAAGAAAACTTCTTTTTACAGCGAAAAAAAACCCTAAACTTCCAAGCAAGCACCGAGTGCGCAACGACATAATGGGAAACTCGTGGATTCTTCAACTGACCACGGCACACCTGCACCAGGGTAAACCTCCGCCTACCGCAGTCCTGCTTTGCAGGTGAAAATAGAGCAACAGGACCGCTGAGTCTTTGACTTTATTTATTTTCTGCTGTGTTTTACTTGCATCTATTTGAAAGAGTGAGTGTAAACACAAAAAATATTTTATTTTATGTGCTGGAATGTGCAGAAAATAGGTTTAAATGTTAAACTAATTTATTCAAATCAGAGAATGTTACATATAATTAAATTTTTGCTTGATGCATAAAGTTAAAAGATTAAAACTGATAAAACAAGTTAAAAAAAAAGACTTTTCCATTTGATTACATTTTGTATGATGGATTATGTAGAAAAAGTAGAATTGGGCTGAAAGATCTATCGCTTTATCACCTCTTCAGGTTGTAAATCGTGTTTTTAAAAAGTAACTAAGTAACTAAGTAATTAATTACTTTTGAAAATAAGTAATCAGTAAAGTAACGGGATTACTTTTTGGGGAAGTAATCAGTAATTAGTTACTGATCACTTTTTTCAAGTAACTTGACCAACACTGATGACTACTGAGTCCGGTGCCATCTCTGGATGCTCGAGGAATAAAAAGAACCGGGGTAAAACTGATTTCTTAACATAAGCTTATCTAACTCTACTGACAAATGAATAGTATCAGTCCATCTAACCTATATTCCAGTCATCAATCCATCGACCTGATCCTTCAGTACTTACTGGTTCTGGGGGTCCCACACCTGTGAGTACGACACTTGAACAGACCCATCTTCCATCATGGTGTTTTCCTCCCTGATGCACTGTCCTCTTCCAAAAATATCGGGCAGCTTTTCAATCTCATACCACTTACCCATGTACTGTAACAAAAAAAAACCAACAACAACAAAACACCCAGCTATGAGTTCTGCACTAAAAAATGTTTACTCTGGATGCATATATCTCTTTGCTCACCGGTTGAAGGGTGAAGTTAGATTGCACCTCTGGAATAGGGCAGGCACCCCAGTGAAAAGTCTGAGCTGAGATCGCGGGGACCAGCAGGAGAAGAAGGTACGTAGCAGACATGGTTCCTTTAGAAGATAAAGGGGGGATTGCAGAAGTTATGTTATGCAGCAGTTATACCTGTCTCAGTTCATCCAGCCTTTTTAATACATGTAGAGAGTGTGTTTCACTCTATTTCTAAAGTTGAAAAATGTCATCACCTTTTATACTGAAATGTTAACGGAAACTAAATACAATACATTTTTTCCTCACTCTTAAGATTTGAAGCAAGTTCCCCATTTAGTTGTGAAATGGTTAGAAGGTCACAGATTTATTAAATTAGACAGAAGAAAGCGACAGAACAAAGTTTTGCATTCTGTGAGGGTTAACTATTGTAGCAAATATTGTCACACCTGTTTTCCTGGTTTCAGAAATGCTTTCTGTGAGACACTGCGAAGCATGTGTTCAGCACCATGTCATAATCATTAAAAATATATATTTTAATACGGACAACAAGCATATGGTAAATGCAATCTGTAAAGATATCAGAATACATTCTGATTTAGGATAACACAAAAAAAAGATAAAAATGAGTGAAAATTAATGCTGGAGTGAGTATTACAGAAAACTGTATTTAAAAATATCAACATTGCTAAAACAGTACAAATTTTCAATTGAGTTTGGTGTTTTTTCTGTTAAAAAAAAAAAAAGTAATTTAAGATCTTACCTGAGCTGTGTGCGAATGTCAGGTGAAGGTCCGAGGCTGGGAGAAACTGAGTGTGTGAGCTCTAGGAACAAACATTTTATATACAGTTCACAGAACAACAGAGGTTGGCCTCCACAACACGTCAAACAGCACTCACCAGCTCCTTATCGCTAGTCATAAGAATATTCTTTTGTTGTGAAATGTCACTGGGATAAGGGTTAAATATTATTGATTACATTTTTTCATTCAGGCCTCATATGTTAATGCTCACTTTATCTCAGATTTGCTTTGTCATTATGCAATGTGTTTTTTGCTATTATTGAAAAATGTACCTTTTAGGTAAATTACATGATAGATAAACTGTCAGCTTTAACTATTTGAAGCTGACATTTCTCTTCTTTACAAAAATCATAGTTCACTGTCACTCGCAAGGTTAATAATAGTTAACATAAAAATAAACCAAGCTGCTGTTTAATGTGCAAGAAATTTTAATCTATACTGAACCTTAATAAAAATTTTCAATCTCAAGAACAACTCATTTGACTTATTGTAGTTGTTGTCAATAATAATAAATACACTATTAGGCAATGAAACCAATGTCATGTTCAATCTATAATATCCAGAGACAGTAAGAAGCTAACCCTGAGTTAAACTACAAAACATAGATATCAATGGAAAGCCCAGGATGTCCACTATTTAGTACATTAGGACTTAGTATGGTAGCTCAGATAACTCAAAAGAAATAGACCAAAAGCAAATGTCCAATACAAAGGACGTAAATGAGCAGGCTGGTTCTAAGGAGGATATGATGAAGATGCAATTTGGTAATTTAAGTGGAAACACTATTAAATTCTCAGGATATCATAAAACATTAAAAGACAGCAACAAAGTAAAACAAGTACAGATCTGAAATCTGAAAAGATAAAATTACTTATATCAGTTATTTCCTATTTCTGCAGTTCTGATTTGTGTGTCATCTTGGAAATGTCAATTCCTTCGTCAGTCATGAATTGTTTGGCATGATCGACCATCTCTGTTGGCTGTTAGGGCAATTGTACAAAAATCCCTGGGTAGTAGAAATGGAATATGTCAAAGTCACTTTTGCAGGAATACATTCTTTACAGTATGGCTGCTATTAGTAATATGATGGCACTAGTCCAATATAGCGGCCAACCAAACCCGTTTGACAACCTGTTTGATCGGTTTCGTGCGTGTGCGCATGCGCGTTCAGGTGTGCTGGGGGTATGCGAGTTCATGTGTGGAAACACACAGGGCTCAGAGAGGTAATGAGTTCATGTGTTTTTAACTGGGTTTTAATTTAATCAAACCATGGGTTTTTAATTCAACTACTTTTATTGCTTTGGCGTGTCTCAACATTTAGTTATGCAGACATATGTGTTCTTAAAAGCAATTCTTTGTTTTAGCGTGGAGTGGTGGAAGCCGTTTTGGTTCACAGTGTGCATTAACATGCAGGAATGCTTCTTATTTACATCTAGTCAAAAGTGTTGGTAATAGTGTTTTAATCACACTCATTTTGTGATTCTGACAATGTCTCAGCTTGCAGTGATGGAAGCATTTTATTTTAAAAACGGCACAAAATGGCGATTTCTTCTGAATGGGCAATTTCAGCCTGTTCACAAGCGTTCCGTTTAATCAAACCACTAGTTTTAGTTTAACTAGTTTTTTTACGCATCTACTGGGGTTTCTTTCACGGGTTGATGCGATCATTTTATTTAAAAATCGGGATTTCGGGATGTTGAACTAGATGGAGACAGAGCCAGCTAGTTGTTTTTAGTGGCCGGTATTGGCTCTTTTTGTAATTCTACGAGAAGGTAAAAGCCCCGCAGATGTACCAGTCGAGCAGGGTCTCGCCTATTTTCTGAAGTAGCCAGCAACAACGGACCCTTAGGCCTATCTTGGCCAGTTACACCGGAGCTCAGCAACAGCCTGCCCCACCCTCATTGTTTTAAACTTGCACAGCAAGGTGCCCTGTAGGTGTATCGCCCCCCATCGACATCTCATCTATTGTTTTTGGAAGCACCCGGTCCTATATGAAGCGTGCACCAATGCTAAGTGCATGAAGTATACCTTTACACCTATAGCTGAAAAGAGTCTGCATCCATAATTTGTGGATCAATTGATTTGTTTTATAATGTGGCACTTTTTTTTTCCACAAACTGCAGATGATGAAATCCTCTTTATTTGAGAAAGTGTCCCTAAGGTATTGCTGCTCACTGAGTTCCCTAGCTACTTCTTTACTATGTCAGTAAACTTTTTGAACAAGGCAGGTATCACAGATTTAAAGGCCCATCTTAATTTTATTTATTTATTTATTAACCTTTATTTAACCAGGAAGAACCCATTGAGATTAAAAACCTCTTTTTCAAGGGAGACCTGGCCAAGATAGGCAGCAGCAGATGTCTCACAGTTACAGAAATTACTCAAACACAGGCAGCAACAACACACATGCAACAATAAGTGAAAGAATACAAAAAA